CTTCCTGTGCAGTGTCAGAATTAAAAGTATGAAAAAAAAATATTACATACAAATTTGCAAAAATATTGTGCGTCGGCCGGGAATCGAACCCGGATCAACTGCTTGGAAGGCAACTATGCTAACCATTACACCACCGACGCAAGTGCTTACTTGCTGCATAATGACTAATATAGCAACACGTTGCCTGAAGGCAAAAAATATACCGTACAGGATGGTCCGTGAACAGAATTTCTTAAATGTGAGCACAAACATACAGGGTGTCTGGTAAAAGGTTAAGCTCACACAGTGCTAAGCAGTGAAAAATTACATACATATATATTTGTATGTACACATTTGCGAACTGAATTTATACGGTTGACAAATACGGTAGACAAACGGGCTCGATTATTTGCATAACCAGCCTTTATTTGCTTTGACTCATGCATTTTCCTCTTTAATATGCGCATAAGAAGCTGAACAAATGCACGAAATTTTTGGGAATTAACTCGGATCCGGGCAGTTTTCGTTGACAACACTGGTCAGCTGTTGTCTTTTCTACAAGTAAGCAAACAAAGCGCGCGTGTTCCCCGTCCGCAGTAGCCGAGTGGTAAGAGTTACGGGATACAAGCCTGTAGTTGCCAGGTTCGATCCTCGGTTGGAGCGATTGCGAAATTTTTTTTTGTTTTTATTTATTTTATATTTTTTTTATTTTATTTGATCTATGTATTTAATGTTACTTTATTTTGTTTTCATTTGCTTTATTTTATATCACTTTTTTATTTTACATCAGTTAATTTAAATTTTTAGAGTTGAATTTTAATAAAAAGTCAACAACAACTAACTGAAAGCAACGTAAAAAAAATATAGAACTTATAAAAAAAAGAATGAAAAACAAAATTAAAAAAAAAATTAAAAAAAGATGAAAATTTAATTGGCCGTGGGACTCGAACCCACGACCTTGCGGCTCGTTTATCCGCATAACTGCCGTCTGTGAGGTCAAAATTATTATGCGCATATGTATGCCAGATTATATGCATAAGCTTTGCCGTCTGTCACAGCTT